TAATTAGCCTGAATAGAAACCTCTTCTAGAAAAGTCCAGAGCTGATTTGAACAGACCTCTGGGCACTAACTCAGTCCTCATGAAGTCTGTTAGACCGGGGGCCAGTCTGCCGGGTCATTTGGTGAAGCAGCAACTGTTCCGTTAGGGTCTGATGCTGGCTGTTCATCTCTGGCTGCGCTGGTAATGTCTGAGGCTGCCTGTGTTTCACCTGGGTCTGTGGGACCCGCTAAAGACGTCCGGACCGGGTCTGTGCTCGCACTGACTGAGGCCAGATGTGGATCAGCTGGGCTGACTGGCTGGAGTCTGTTCTTGTACTGGCTGATGATCCCAAATTTACTCCACTGACAAACTTAAGCAAAGCCCTTGTCAATGTAATGCAAATCCACTGCTTCCCATCTTGCATTAGTCCAGAGTTGGAAATAAACTTCACTGTCTTGTTTTAAAATGATGTATGAGGAGTGCCCTCACATCCTGTCTGGACTGGTTCACAGATGTTTATTGCTGGAATGCGTGAATAAAATTTTTTAGGCCGTGAATATGAACGCATTTCCACGTGCAATGCGGTCATCTTTTCCGAGCTGCAGTTTATAAACACTGTGGCCCATCTGCGTTTATCAAACATAATAAATAGTTGTATTTTTACTCAACATTGTTCTGTCACAGTCTGGCAAGAAACCAAGACACGACAGACAAGAGCTGCGCTTCTCAGCTGGTTAGCAGGACAGACAGACAGAAATTCACAGCATCTACACATTAACTGAACATTAGGCTACTGTTACTGTTACCTGCTGACATCAGACTCTGAGAGGAGCGAACACAAGTTTACCTGCCTGCTGTTCCTGCACTTCACTCTCACTGAGCTTCTTTCTCTTCTCGTGCCTAGAAGGATAGTCCCTCTTCATCCTCTCATTTGACACGACAGTGAGGCGGGGCCGTCCACCTCTGCGCAAGACTGACTTTATTACTATCCCTGTGTAAGCCGGTGTCGCATCTGCTGGGTTAATTCGCGCAGAGTCAGCTTTATTAGTTCACATTTGTTTTTCAGTGCTGCAACCGGGGTGAGATCAGTGCTATCCACTGGCCCACCGTGCCGCCCAACAATGCACCAATATATGCACATATTGTTTATTGTGTCACTGTTGTTTAGTTTCAGCACATGTATTACCTGTGTGCCAGGTACTGTCTATAACCTACTGGGTTCAGTAGCTGACAGATGTTGTGCAAAGTTAACGTTAGTTACCACTGAAAGGAAGTATTTCCTGCCTGCGGGAGTGTAAGCATTCAGTGGTGACAGCGGAGCTTCGAGTTCACCAAAGTAGATGAAAAATATAACGTGGATTGTTTAATCTATCCTTTCAGTATTGTTGTTTTATCAACAAGTTTTTGCAAAGCAAGCTAACATATGGCTTCTGCCTTCTGTAGGCTAACATTATGTGTTATTGAATCAAGAATGTATAAACAAGAAACCACATTTTTTCTCTCAGTAAAGCAAACATTTAGGTAGGTAGGTAGGTTTTATTTTCACAATATAACAAGTTGTAGAGTGAAATTGAGTTTTATAACTCCCTTCTGCTACATAGCAGACAGGAAACAATTAATTATTATATTATTATAAATTAACAGAAATAAACTATCATCACTGGAGCAGTGCTGAGGATGAACTAGAGTTTAAGAGTCTGATAGTTTGGGGGGGAAAGCTGCTCTGCAATCTGGTGGTGCAGCAGCAGAAACTTCTATATCTCTTCCCAGAAGGCAGCAGGGTGAACAGGCTGTGGCTAGGTGGGAACTGTCCTTTAGTATCCTTTGGGCTCTGCAGGCACCTCACCTCACTGATATCACTGATGCTCGGGAGATGGGTACCAATGATCTTCTGTTGATCTTCTGAGTGTCTGATTTCCTCAAGAAATCCAGTCGTATCTTAGCTTTCTTCACCAGCGTGGAGATGTGAGACGACCATGTCAGGTTCTCTGTGATGCCGATTCCCAGGATCTTGAAACTATTCACCTGCTCCACCTCAGCTCTACTGATGCCGACAGGAGTGTGTGTCTTTATCTCCTTCTTCCTAAAATCAATGAGCAGCTCCTTGGTTTTGCTGACGTTGAGCGGTAGGTTGTTCTCTGAGCACCACTCTACAAGATTATGAATTTCCTCCCCATATGAAGTCTCATCCATGTCGGGGGATGCAGTCGTGGGTGTACAGCGTGAACAGGAGGGGGTTGAGCACACAGCCCTGGGGGGCTCCCGTGTTGAGCACTAGAGTTGTGGAGGTGAGTCCGCCAATCCGAACTGACTGGGGCCCGTTCGTGAGAAGTCCACTATCCAGTTGCAGAGTGTTGTATTTAAACCCAGAGTGCTGAGTTTGCTGATCATTTTCTTAGGGGACATTGTGTTGAACGCTGAGCTGAAATCCACAATCAGGATTCTGAAGTAGGTGGTGTTTTTCTCAAGGTGTGTATATATTAATACATATAAATAGATCTGTTTTAAAGTTGAGAGTCTAACAATGTTGTAGGCAGTCAGCAATCAATGTATAAATGGATTTCTCTGAAAATACTTACTTCTTTGGAGAAGCTATAACTGGCCATATAGACTAGTAAAAACCTGGTTGGGGATAAGGTTAGGTGAGGTGTTTCTGTGTTTATTGCGAGATCTCTCTATGAAAGTGATTTGTGTTTTGGATTCTATTCGCTCATGAGTTCAAGCGAGCACGTGTACGAGCGCACGCCTGGTTGCAATCTTAAAACCGCAACATCAATTAACTTAACGTTATGTTACTGCAATTTTTGTTTCAAGATTCACCACTTATCAGATATTAATTATGAAGCAGCTGCCGGGTCAGCAGACAGACACAGCAATCCCTCAACAGCCTCTTGTAACGTTAAATTTGGTCTTATACAAGTGAACTGCACTCACCACATTCAGAGCTACAACTGAAGAGTCTGTGTAAAATGTCACATAAAATATCAGCGCTAACGTATTGCATCCAGTCCAGTCCTGAACAGTCTAATGTCAAAGCTGCAAGGAAAATTGAAATCTGGTGTCAAACTAAACATTCTCAAATCGATGACAGTCCTTCATTTCAAAATGGAGGTTTGTGGTGGTTTTCGCGGTCTGTTAATATTACTGTATTTAGATTTAGAGTAATATTTTCCCAGAATGCATTGAAAATCTACAGTAACATACTGTCCACCGCTTATACAGTTGGAAACAGTTAAAAATACAGTAATAATACTTAAAAGTATAAAAATAAATTCAGTGTATAGTCTGACGATGTTATAACTGACCATGGAGTCGATCACTTGGTCATCCATGTTACTGTTTGCAGGCCTGCATTAACCTGCAGTTAGGCCTGAGCCTCAGAGGTTTTGTAGGCCCACAATAAAAACAATAAAAATGTCTAATGACCACGTTTATCTATACTTTGCGCGACAGTAAGCATGATCGGTATGCGTACAGTAAAGGCAATGAGTCACATTATGACCTTATGAATCTTTTCTAAGGAAGATGCTCCTACCAATAGCTACGGAGTCAACACTGTAAAATCAAGATCACAATAATAATTAGTTGATCAGCAAACACATGAATGCAGCATTGTAGACAATATTTTGTCCTTGTAATCCACGTTTCCATTGCAAATGATAGCCTTTAGATATTATTGGAAACTATTCAGAATCCCCCTCCTTAAAGGGGAAGGGGATTAGTATCATAATCATTTAATATTGCATTGCAAATAAATTTTCATACACACAAAGCGATTACAGTACTGTTCCTACCAGGCTGGACATGCATTCTGCCATAAAACGTATCCGCCCTCTATAATGCACAGATGTTAATCTGATTCCAGTTATTTTGATTTTACAGTGTCACATTTTAGCGTCTAGTTCTAGCTTCCAAACAGTAACATGGATGATGAGCAAGTGATTAAATCCGTGGTCAGTTTTATCATTGTCAGACTATTGCAAAAAATTTTGCTATAAGATAAATATAAAGTTCAACATAATGTAAATGTAAATCTGGAAGCCAAGCATTAGCTTGCTTTGCAAAACCTTTTTGATAAAACAACAATACTAAAAGGATAAATAAACAATCTACATGTTATATTTATCAGTTACTTTGTTGAACTCGAAGTTCCTTCACAGCTGAATGCATGCGCTCCAACTGTCGGGGGAACGCCTTCTATCTGTGGTACCTACCTTGGCACGACACCGGCCAATCAGCAGCCTCTCTGTGCTGATACTGGAAATGTGCATGTGTATTGTTGTGGGTTACAGTCAAATGTGTCGTTTGACTTTCCAACAGCCATATACAGTATGTAATTTTGGGACACTTCACAATAAACCTATTTTGTCATTTAGGTATGAGGATGTGTTGCAGCAATGAACCATAATATACAGCTACTGCATTGATGATACAGGTGTCATGCTTAAACTCATATTTTTATTTAAAAAGAAACAATATTTTAATTCAATTGATATTCTATAACATATATCTTACTCAAAACACAAATTACTTACATTTTGATAACAAATAAGTACTTACTAGGAGTAGAAATATGCAAAAAAATATTATCCTCTGAGGGTATCAAAATCACCAGGATTTTTTGCAACTTACAACTCAGCAGGGACATGTCACAAATGTGTTTCAACTCAATACACATCTGACTGGCTTACAATAAAAAGTGAAATTTATATAACAAGCTGCTGCATTGGAAGAAACATCTTACAGCAAAAAAGTGATGATGTCTTTATAACAGACATTTCTCACTAATGGGCAATACACAAAGAGGAAATCAATTTGGAATTTAAAAATTGAGCATTTTATATTTAAAGTAGATCTCATGCAGATGTCTATGAAGATTCTCAGTCATCCAGGTCATAGTTATCCAACGAAGGTTAAAATGAAGGGTAGACTTGGTTGAAGCTTCAACCAAGTCCAGTTGCCCTTCATTTTAACCTTCGTTGTATAGATCTCATGCAGTCTGAAAATCCTTCTACAGTTTAATGTTACTATTAAACAGTAGTTTAATGTTATAAGTGAGTTAAACACATTATAACCTTGTTAAATATTTAAAAACTAAGGGATAGTAAAATAAAACAAAATGAAATTTCATAATATGTATTTTATTTTACCTAAAAAACCATGAGACATGTCTTTCTCTAGTTAAAGTTGCTCCTGTGCAATAAATCGGTTATGTCAATAGAGGGCGATAGAGAGCAAAAAGTGTGTGTATTCAGAGTACGTACACACACCGAAAATCCACACACATTTTCGATTTTGGCATCTTTTTGAGGACCTCTCTGAAACTTTGAGAGAAGCATATAAACAGACTCTGGAGGCCATTACAGTGAAAATAAAGTGAGGACCGGCCTAAATGTCCTCACTTTGCAAAATGGTCCTCACTCCAAAGGTTAAAAACCCTTGCTTGTCCTCACAAAGATAGCTGTACAAACACACACACACACACACTGCAGGACAGGTACACACACACACACACACACACACACACTGCAGGACAGGTACACACACACACACACACACACACTGCAGGACAGGCACACACACACACACACACACACACACACTGCAGGACAGGTACACACAGTGGACTCACACCTTCCACCTTTGTCCTCCAGGGGGCGTCGGCCTGACACGCGGCGCTGGTGCGACACCTGTCAGATTCACTTCAGCGGTGATGTCATCGTCCATCGACGGACAAAAAAACATAAGGTCGGAAACAACTCTGATGACATCACAAGCATGGCTGTCTTTAATTGGCCGGCTTTGACTCCTCCTCCTCTGTCTCCAGGTGTGTAAGCAGCTGTGTCGTCCCTTCTGTCCCGTGTGCAGACGCCACTTCAGGACTCCCAGGAAGTTTGTGGAGCACATGAAGTCTGCGGAGCACAAGCAGCAGGTCAGCAGGGGACGCCGCCGAGCCGGGGCGCAGGAAGTCCGTACGGCGGCTGTAAGAGTTCCTGCTGTATCCACGTGTCATGTGACTCCCTGTCTGTCTCCTCCCAGGTGCTCCTGGAGGAGGCTCAGGAGGAGGAGCTGATCACTGTGGACGCTGTCGGCTGCTTCAAGGGAGAGGAGGAGGAGGAGGAGGAGGATGAAGAACAAGAGGTGGAAGTAGCTGATGAAGAAGAGGAGACTGTGTCGGAGGTAAGGCTGTGCGATATGACGATAGAAAAATCATTATTTTGTTGTGTCCCAATATCCACACTTTACGGTAATATTTTTGCGAGGGGACGGCGCTTTGCACCGCGGTGAAGTTAGTTTTAAGCTGGATATTTGAAGACTAACTTCACCGCGTTCTGTTCTTCCACACTTTGCATTCAGAATAAACAAACATGGAGGAGAGGGAAGTTTATGAAAGCAAAAACCAGAAGCTCATATCTCAGAGAGAAGAACATATTCCAGCCATGATGTGTGTGTCAGGTAACGTTAAACGACCCGCCCACCGACAGTCAGCTGACTTTATAGTTAGCTGGAGAGTTGGATCTCTGTCTGGAGCTGCTGTGCTGCTCTGGACCGTGAACTTACTGTTGGTTGATTTTTCCTTAAATTTACAAAAAATGTTCTATATCGGGATATGGAGGTAAAACCAAATGTTCAGGGTTTCATTAATAATAGGCGTGGGAATCACCAGAGGCCCCACGAGACCATACTGTAAACATATCGTGATATTTTGCAATTTCATCCCTTTTTTTCCAACTTCAAATTGTCCCCAAAGGAAAACTCTTTTTCTAGCAGACTTATTTTATTATTATAGTACCAAAAAGTAAAATTCTCATGTTCATTTTATGTAATAAAAGATCGATACTTGGCGTCCGTGTATCGATACAATATCACGATACTTTGCTGTATTGACTTTTTTTCCTCCACCCCTGATAAATAACTACTGCTGAGGCTGGAGGCTGAGCAACGAACAGATTTTCTGGAGGATCTGGAGGTTTCAGTTTGACCTGGAGCTCATTTTTTACCCTTCAGTCACTGTGGCTTTCACACCTGCCTCGTTTGGTCTGAATTCTGGGACTTTTCAGTTTGATCCGAACCAAAATTAAAGGTGGGCAACGACCCAGAAATTTGGTTGTTTCTATTGTGAAAGCATTTTTTGGATGGTTCGGACTTTCAGACCGCAAACAAAGAAATGCACTGAAATAAAACTGTAAGTCTACCAGCTCGGCTGCTACGGAAGCAACTTGGCACTCACCTTTTTGGTCTCTCCTGAACATGTTCAGGTTCCTCATCTTATTTAGACTTTGTACCAGAACAGGTTTCCATGGTTATATGTTTGTCATACTGCACATTGCTGCAGCTCCTCTTTTCAGCCTGTGTTGAAGGCTTCGTTTTAGCTATGGAGTGATACATCTTGTCTCTAAATGATCTTTGTTGGGAGTTGCACATGCTCAGTTCCTAATTAAGGACTACTAGCCAATCAGAAGCAGAGAAGGGCGGGTCAGCGAGAAGCCGGTAAACGGCTCGGGTTCAGCCGTACGGACTGGAGCGAGAGTTTCAGAGCGGTGAGTTATTAATCTGTATCCATAAAGTTTTAACTGAGCTCTGTCTCTACATCACAGGAACAACTTTCTGTCCACTGACTGCCTGGAGGGTAGCTAGTGTTTGGAAGGGAGAGGAGAGCTGTGTGCTGCAGCTCGCTGTTTCTGAGGGCGTGTCGGAGTCGCCGCTCGGCCAGCGTTACATGAGGCGTGTTTAGCTTTCATCCCTGTGATGTCACAGGGAAGCGGCTGGACTACAAACGAGCTGTTTTCAGTTCAGAGCAGAGTTTTCTGTGAGAGATGGGAACTCACTTTGGGCTTTTTCACTTTGCAAACCTGTTACAGCACAAAAAGGTCTAAACTCAATAAAGGAGAGGGGAAAAGACAAAAAGCAGAATATCACCTCTTTAAAGATTCACCTGACAATAATTTGAAACATGGCTAGTCTCAAGAACAGGGAGACCAAAGCGACTTGATCCTCAACAAAAAAATATTTATTTCAGTGGAACATGTGAGTGTTAAAATGATGCTTTGTGTGTGTGTGTGTGTTACAGGAAGCACACGAGGAGGGATATGACCCCGACACCACCTACGGTATGTTTTGCGTGGTCTCCACAGTGCAGATGGCTCTATATCTTGTATTTGTGAGGGAACGGGTGCAAAGGTCGACACAGACACCAACACCACTAAAGCAGTTAATACGTACCGAGAGCACTCCGCTGGCTCAGCTCATCCGCCCCACTGATTGCCGCCGATCAGCTCCAGCTGCGTCTTTTAGCACACCTGCTAAAAGCTATGCGTACGTACAAAACAGGGCTGGAAACGTGCGGACGCCACTTCCCAAGCAAAGGTTGGGATCTATAAAAAACAAACTTGACGGGAGAATGTGCGTCCAAAAGGAACGTCAGTGTCAAACATTTTGTGTCAGTCTGCCTCCTTTTCTTCCTGCAGTCAGGACGTATGAATATTAATGAGCTTCACTGAGCGTCTACAGGCAGCTGTGGGTGTTTGGAGGCTCGGACACTGAGCTCCCTCACATGCGCCACATTTCAAGTTGATTGTGATTTAAAAAGGGAACCTGCTTACAGCTGTGCGCACGCTCGGTTTTATAAGTCTGAATATTTTTTGGGCTCACGTAAACTTTTAGTGAGGTTTCTACACACAGTTATATAAACGAGACCCCAGATCAGGACGAGGAGCGATCTGATCCAAGTTTGCAATACTTTTATAGAACAGTTATTTCAAACATTAAAAGGAAAGACAATAGAGCACACTGCTCGAACCTGTGATGGAAACAAAGTATGAAACTAGAAAAGCAATTCCTGAAGAAATTGCGGTGTGAATGCTGTCGGCTGAAGGGCTTGCGCTAAACTGAATTGCTGGCTTTAATTCAACCATCGGAAATGTTCTAAAGAACGTGAATAAGATTTTAAAGTTGAATAAACGTCAAACTGCTCTGATAAATGTAGAACATTTTATGGTTTGGATGTAGTTTTTATCTCATGGACATGAAGAAGTCAAAGAAATGTGAGAAAGTGTTGTGATGTGTTCTGAAATCTTTAGAGAGAGCTATGAAGACTTGGAAAAGGTTCAGATGCTGTAATTAGTATGAAGGCATATATATATATATATATATATATATATATATTAGTATGAAGGCATATATATATATATATATATATATATATATATATATATATATATATTAGTATGAAGGCATATATATATATATATATATATACACAGTGGGTACGGAAAGTATTCAGACTTCTTTAAATTTTTCACTCTTTGTTTCATTGCAGCCATTTTCCAAAAATCAAAAAAGTTCATTTTATTTCTCAGTAATGTACACTCAGCACCCCATCTTGACAGAAAAAACAGAAATGTAGAAATTTTTGCAAATTTATTAAAAAAGAAAAACTGAAATATCACATGGTCATAAGTATTCAGACCCTTTGCCGTGACACTCATATTTAACTCAGGTGCTGTCTATTTCTTCTGATCATCCTTGAGATGGTTCTACACCTTCATTTGAGTCCAGCTGTGTTTGATTATACTGATTGGACTTGATTAGGAAAGCCACACACCTGTCTATATAAGACCTTACAGCTCACAGTGCATGTCAGAGCAAATGAGAATCATGAGGTCAAAGGAACTGCCTGAAGAGCTCAGAGACAGAATTGTGGCAAGGCACAGATCTGGCCAAGGTTACAAAAAAATTTCTGCTGCACTTAAGGTTCCTAAGAGCACAGTGGCCTCCATAATCCTCAAATGGAAGACGTTTGGGACGACCAGAACCCTTCCTAGAGCTGGCCGTCCGGCCAAACTGAGCTATCGGGGGAGAAGAGCCTTGGTGAGAGAGGTAAAGAAGAACCCAAAGGTCACTGTGGCTGAGCTCCAGAGATGCAGTCGGGAGATGGGAGAAAGTTGTAGTAAGTCAACCATCACTGCAGCAATCCACCAGTCGGGGCTTTATGGCAGAGTGGCCCGACGGAAGCCTCTCCTCAGTGCAAGACACATGAAAGCCCGCATGGAGTTTGCTAAAAAACACCTGAAGGACTCCAAGATGGTGATAAATAAGATCCTCTGGTCTGATGAGACCAAGATAGAACTTTTTGGCCTTAATTCTAAGCGGTATGTGTGGAGAAAACCAGGCACTGCTCATCACCTGTCCAATACAGTCTCAACAGTGAAGCATGGTGGTGGCAGCATCATGCTGTGGGGGTGTTTTTCAGCTGCAGGGACAGGACGACCGGTTGCAATCGAGGGAAAGATGAATGCGGCCAAGTACAGGGATATCCTGGACGAAAACCTTTTCCAGAGTGCTCTGGACCTCAGACTGGGCCGAAGGTTTACCTTCCAACAAGACAATGACCCTAAGCACAGCTAAAATAACGAAGGAGTGGCTTCACAACAGCTCCGTGGCTGTTCTTGAATGGCCCAGCCAGAGCCCTGACTTAAACCCAGCTGAGCATCTCTGGAGAGACCTGAAAATGGCTGTCCACCAACGTTTACCATCCAACCTGACAGAACTGGAGAGGATCTGCAAGGAGGAATGGCAGAGGATACCCAAATCCAGATGTGAAAAACTTGTTGCATCTTTCCCAAAACGACTCATGGCTGTATTAGATCAAAAGGGTGCTTCTACTAAATACTGAGCAAAGGGTCTGAATACTTTTCAGTTTTTCTTTTTTAATAAATTTGCAAAAATTTCTACATTTCTGTTTTTTTCTGTCAAGATGGGGTGCTGAGTGTACATTACTGAGAAATAAAATGAACTTTTTTGATTTTTGGAAAATGGCTGCAATGAAACAAAGAGTGAAAAATTTAAAGGGGTCTGAATACTTTCCGTACCCACTGTAGATGTATATGTGTGTATGTTAGTATGAAGGCTGGAAAATGTCTCTGTCTCTACAGGAAGTGGCTTTGTGGTTCCTGTTTCTGGCTTCGTGTGTCGACTCTGTAACAAGTTCTTCTACAGAGAGACGACAGCGCGACACACACACTGCAGGACACGCACACACTACCTCAACCTGCAGGTAACACACACACACACATGTGCACACACACACACACACACTACCTCAACCTGCTGGTAACACACTCACTCACTCACACACACACACACACACTCACTCGCACACACACTCACACACACACACACACACTCTGCAGGTGAGAAACGGTGTGTGTTGTTCTGTGTTTCAGAGTCACAGACCTCAGCAGAGACCTGAAGACGAGGACCGAACCGCTCAGACTGTGTCCCACAATGCATCTGTGTATCCAGGTGATGCACCGACGATGACATCACTGTGATGTTTTATTGTTCTGCCGCCGCAGAAACTAATTAAAACTCCCATTAAAAGAGTACAAACGCGTGTGTGTGGTTTGACTTGGATGATCTCTGCAGGGTGTTTGGTTTGCCTGCAGCTGTAGTTCAGTGTATGAAAAAGTCTGAGCGCGGTCAGAAACACCTGCCGCCGTCCGTCGTCTTCAGGAAGCTGGTTCTGTCTGACCAACAGCTGCTGATCAGTCTTCAGTGAAGTGTTCCACCGCTCCATCAGGTGCAGTTAACACGTGGAAACGTGTAGATACTGTGTGAAGAAGAATACTGTAAATACTGTAAAGATCCAGCTCTCAACCTTATCAGTACTCAATACTGTTAGTAGTAGTATAATATAATCATTCACAAACTGCTGAATACTGCACACATTGCCACACTCCTTTTGTGTATTTATTTATTTACCAGGGACAGTTTTTTTATAATTATTTCTATTTTTGTTTTTATTGCCTTGATTGGCAACGTGAGCAACTGCAGCACAATTTCTCCTCAGGGATAAATAAATTATTTTATGACCCTGAACGCACCTGCAGAGTAGAAACATGTAATATTTTATTTACTTGGTTAAATTAAACTTTTTTTTAAATATAGTACTGTTTTCAGTCCACGTGGCATGCCGCACCCTGTCTTGGCCGCAGGGGGCGCTGTGCGGGCTCAGCGCAGAGGATT